TAAGGTTGGTTAAGAGTTTATTAATTTTATTTAATCTTTCAAAGAACCAACTCTTCAATTCATTGATTTTTTTTTGTATTGTTTTGTTAGTGTCAGTTGCATTAATTTCTGCTCTGATCTTTATAATTTCTCCCTCATATGATCTTTGGGCTTGACTTGTTCTTTTTCTAAAAGTTTTAGGTTCAACATTAGGTATTTGAGCTAACCCTTTTTTCAAAAGTTCACTGCTATAAATTTCCATTGTAGGACTACTTTCACTGTGTCCCATAAATTCTGATGTGTTGTATTGGCATTATCATTTATGATAGATACTGTTTAATTTCCTCTTTAATTTCACATTTGACCCATTCGTTGTGCAGGAGGGTGCTGTTTAATTTTCATGTGTTTGTGGAGTTTTTATGATTTGTTTTTCCAGTGATTTTTCAATTTCATGGCACTCTGGTCTGATAATAATAAGCATGGATAATTTCAATTCCTTTACATTTACTGAAGCATGGTCTTTTGGCTAGTATGTGATCTATTTTGGAGAACATCCAATGTGCAGCTGAGAAGAATGTGTACTCTGATGTGGGGTGGAACACTGTAGACATCTACTAAGTCCATTTGTTCACAGCATTGGTTACTTCTGATTTTTTTTGTTGTTGATTTTTTTATCTAGTTGATCTGTCTGTTTGTGACAGTGGGGTATTAAGGTCCCAATTACAATTTGGTTTGTGCTCTTTTGCTTTTTCAAGTCTGTTAATATTTGTTTTATATAGTTGGGTGTGCCACTATTTGGTGTGTATATATTTATGATTGTTATCTTTTCCTCTTGGAGTTTTCTCTTAACAGGTATGTAATGACCTTCATTTCTTTTGATCAGTCTTGATTTGAATTTTACTTTGTCTCCAAATAGAATAACTACCCCTGCTTTTTTCCAGGTTCCTGTTGCATGAGGTATTGTTTTCCATTCTTTACTTTGAGTCTGTGAATTTCTGTTTTAGTTAAGTGTGTTTCTTGCATGCAGCATAATGTTGGATCTTGTTTGTTGATCTGTTCTGCAAATCTGTTTCTTTTAATTGGTGAATTGAGACCATTTACATGGACGGTTATAAATGATATTGACTTATCCTTCTTGTACTATTTTCCTTTTGTTGGTGTTCCCTGTCTTTCCCCTCTGTTTAATTGCTTGTCTTGCTTGGCGGCTTCTATTGGTATTCTTGGAATTGTAGTCTTAGGTATCTCTTTCTAGCGTATCCTTCAGAGCGTTTTGTAGAGCTGGTTTGGTGGTCATGAATTCCTTCAGTTCTGTTTCATGGAAGTATCTTATTTCTCAATGATTTTTGAAAGATAGTTTTGCAGGGTACATAAATCTGAGTTGGAGGTTGTTTTCTTTCAGGACTTGAAGTACTTCAGGGTCTTCTCAACTTTTGGGGTTTATATTGAGAAGTGTGCTGTGATTTTGATAGGCTTTCCTTTATAAGTGATTTGTTTCATTTCTCTTAACTGCTTTTGATATTTTGTTCTTGTGCTGAGTTTCAGGAATTTTATTATTATATGCCTTTATTTGGATCATGGCTAATTGGAATTAAACATGCCTCACTTATTTATATGTCATATTCTTTTTCCAGAGCCTCCTTTTGTCTTTGATTCCATAGCCTCAGCCAAAAAGACCACACTTTTATGATTTTTGTTACTGGCACATCTGATCTTTAAAATAAAGAAGAATAACAATATGCCAAACAAGGTTAATATATATGGGGATCTCAATATCAATCCAGTATCCAACTACTCAGATTATTCCATCCAGCCTACAGTTTTGACCAGATGGTATCCCACACGTTATTTAAAGTCACAACATCTAGCGCCTGGGTATTAATTCCTCCCAAACCAAGTTTAATTGGATTTGTAAATTGAGTAGGGCTTCGGCTGCACGGACATCTTGAAATAGCGGGGCGGTCTTTTTGAAGGTTTGGGTGGTGTCTTTTGTTAGCTGGTTGACGGCTGTCACCACTTGATTGTGTGAGGTGACTGTTGCCATTGTTGTGATGGAAATAGCTGCCACCTTGGAAATGATGACAGCAGTAAGGGCGGAAATTTCAAAATCTTTCTTACTGGATGAAGCATATGATTAAAGATAGGATCTGAATTTTGTCATTCCATATGGAGATCATTGGGGACCCAAATGGCGGGGGGTGTTCTAGCAAAATATAAACCCCAAGTTTCTGTATGATTAAACAAAGATGGCTTAGTACAAAGGGTAATAAGGTTCCTTCCATGGCTGTAGGGTAAATACAGGCCTGGGTAGGGTAGAATTCCAATCAAAAGTAATGAAAATGGGGGAGGGGTTAGATACTTGCGGATCGAAGGCTCTGTGGCAAGAATGCTGTTCCTGGGCATGCAGCAGACCCCAGGACCGCTCAACACCAGCAGCCACAGGCCGGGGAGCAGCCAGCCCCTGCGGCGTCACGACAGGGACCGGACCGCGCAGCCCCATCCTGCTGGCCTCAACCTTGCTCTGGCAGCCCTCTCGGCCGGCTGGGCCCTAATGCACCCCGGGGAGTGGGGCCGATAGCAGCCAGGGCGACGGGAATCTGCGGTGGGAGGCCGGGGAAGAAAAATGACCTTAGGCTACCACGCAGCTCTTGGGCTTGGTCGCCCACCAGGCTCCCCTCCCGGCTCAGCAGGCCCCGGTGCCCCGAAACTGCAGGTCTTTCCTCCAAAATTTTTTGGAGCTCTCAGCTGCGTGGGGCGGGGCTTTGGAGGAGGAGACTGGGCTGCCCGGAGGCCCAGGACCCCAAAGCCACTCTTAAGGCCCTATCAAAGGATTGATGCACTTCTTCAACAGAAAGTGAGAGACCAGCGGGTGGGACCGACACCTTTGGGGAAGAAGAAAGCCGCAGAGACAGAGCTATCTTTTTAAAGAGGCTTTTGTCCGACAACTTTAGAGCACTAGGGGCCTATGGCACTCCCTGAGTTTGGGCAGGACTGTTTATTAAGGTGGCCCGTATCGGCAGTTCTGACTCATGACCTTGTCCATGATGGTATCCTTGCCGAAACTTCAGTATTTACCCAGTATACGCGAGTCCCCTGTTTGGGCTCCAACTGCTGTTTTCGTCCGCGAGCCGGCTCCTGGAAGCTGCCTACATGGCAGGCAGGGCTCCACTGAGCTAAATTCCCAGCTAGGCTTTGGTTTTGATCCTTACCATCACCAAAAATACATAAATGAACAATAAAATAAAAGTAGGTATAAGCCCTTAATATGCAGAGAAGGAAGCAGTCTAAAAAAATGAGATCTGAGGCTAATGGCTATTGTTTGAAATTAAATACTTTATTTTGGTGCTGGGTGTTAAATGTAGTACCTTGCTCATGCTAACCATGAACTCTACCTTTGAGCTAGAGTCTCACCTCTGAAATGAAATACTTTAAAACCTTAACGAGTTAGACGTGGTATCCCAACACTTGGAGGTCAAAGCAGGAAAATTGAGGGTTTGAAGCCATTCTGGGCGACATAGTGAAACCCTGTCTCAAAAGCCTCACCCTATCTCCATCTGTCTTCCTCTCTGCCCGCCCCCAGGTCTCTCTCCCTCTTTCTCTCACTATTCAACTTAGGCTGAGGATACAGCTCAGTGGTAGAGCACTTGTCTACCATGAATGGGCTCTGGGTTTGATCCCAGGCACTGCAAAAACTAAACAAAAGTTTATGATGGCTGAAAATTTTAACATTGCAGGGATCTTATAGTTTTGAATTAGTGCTCTTTTTATATTAAGCACTTTTATGGTGAATATAAAAATTTTACTAAATACTGTTTCTACTCTTTGTCTTTAGGTCCTGGCTTGGCTATCAGAGTAATATGTGCTGAGGAACCTTATATTTGTAAGGACTTTCCTGAAACTAATAATATTTTGAAAATAGTGGCTGATTTTTCTGCCAGTGTTAAGAAGGTAATAGTTTGACATATCTGATCGGTACAAGAATTGAATGGATTTATATTGTATTCTTATATTTACAGTGACCTTATTAGGACTTCATTATTTGAAAATTTAGGGTAATATAAGCTTTGAAATGATAGTGAGAAAGTATACTACAGAGTTTCTAAGATACAAACTTTAATTTCCAGCCAAAAAAGCTGGACATCTGGAATCCTTACGAACACTAGATCATGTATTTTACAACATTCTTTTTGTATGTTTTGCAAGAAAATAAGGAAAATCCTTTGAGTCAGCAATGAATTGGAAGATAGTCTGTCCAACATGCCAAGAAAGCTGTCTTCTTTTCTGAGACAGCTGCTAATCCCGTGTGGTGTGGTACGGTGTTTTGTTTTGTTTTGAGACAGGGTCTCACTGTGTATATAAGGCTGGCCTCAAACTCACTATGTAACCTATTCTGGTCTCAAACCACTGTCCTTCTGCCTCATTCTGCTGAGTATTGTCATTACCCATACGCCATCACACTTGGCATTAAAGGGCTTTTTGGTTTTAACAATTCCATTTATGTGAAGGTGTATAAATGTTGTATTCATGAAGAGCTGGGAACTGGATTAGAGATTTTCACACTGAGTAATGCTTAAGCTCCAAATTAAGGATGACTAGAAGTTTCCTGATTTTACAGATTTGGGGTGTTATATAGCTGGGCCTGGTGGTGCACCTGTAATTCCAGCACTTGGGAGGCTGAGGCAAGAGGATTGCTATGAGTTCAATGGCAGCTTGGGCTACATAGTTCAAGACCAGCCTGGACTACATAGCAAGACCTTGTCTCAAAAATAAAACAAAACAAAACAAAAAAACCCCTCTGTGGTCTGAAAATGTCAGGCTAAGAATTAAGTGAACCTGAGTTGGTAGTGCTTTGAAAAGTGAGATAAGAAGCAATGACGGATTTTCAACTTGTCCCTAAAGAATTCCTATAGATAGTGTCAACAAATACTGGTTTACATTTAAAAAGTGACAAAACACATATAGAGATAATAAGGCACCATGAATAAGAGTGGAAATAATTAACAGAAAAAGATCCTCAAAGACTTTGGATACTGAAATCAGCATACAGTATATGAATTGAATAGAAATAAAAGAAAATATAAGAAACTATAAGTAAGAAAAACAAAACTTAAGTAACTACCAAAAATGACTGGGCTGATTTGAAATACTAAAGTTCTAGAAATAAAAATTTAACTGAAATTAATAACAAATAGAGAATTTATGAACTCACAGATGGTTGTTAGGACATTATCTAGAAATCAGGATAAATCACCAAAAAGAAAATACGAGTAGAAGAGGCTATGGTAAAGTGAGAAAGTTTTAATGAATGTCCAGAAGGAAATAATGGACAAAAATAATTTTTCCAAACTGATGAAAGGTGATGATACACCTCAGATTCAGCAAACATAATAACACCTCCCAAGGGACAAAAAGGAAAGAATTTGATACCTAGTAGGCATATTTTAGTGAATTTACAGACTGCCAGAGACTAAAGAAGCTGCTGAGAAAAGATCAGATATCTACAAAGAAACACACTGAAAGCATTAGGAAAGGCAAGGCTTCAGAGTACCTAGAGAAATAGTTACCTGTAGTACCAGTTAAGTTGTCTCTTTAGAGCTAGGGCAGAGTAAAGTTGCAGATAATCAGAATTTACCACCAATAGTCCCTTATATGAAACAAAAAATAATGCTTTTCAACCCTGGCTTTATTTTAGAATTATGTAAGGGAACTTTTGAAGTGTATACTATTCTTGACCCATCTCTGTAGGATTTTTTATTTGGTTTGGGATGGGTCCTGTACATCCTATGGAATTTGACTTTTCAGCTGTGGTTGAGAAACCACTGTTCTAAAGAACTGACTTCAGTAGAAAGGCCTTAGATATGAAGGATTGGTAAGCAAAAAATGTAAATAGGAAAATTGAATTAAACATAAACTGTAGAGAGAGAACACACCTTTTGGTGTTCATATGACAACATATGAAGCATTCAAAAGTGCTTTAGTTGGCTAGACTTGGTGGCACATGCCTGTAATCCCAGCACTTGGGAGGTGAAGGCAGGAGAATCTCAAGTTTGAGGCCAGCCTGGACTACATAGTGAGACACTCTCAACAACAAAATAAAACATTCTTCTGTTGTTTGCAGAAGGACATAAAGATGATTTCTGTTTTATTAAGTATCCGTGTTAACACTTAGAAAGACTACTAAAAGAATTAAGGTAGAGGGTTTAAGTAAAGGGGGGCAAATAAATCAGCTTGGGTAAAATCACTAGCAAAAGATGGCAAAAGGGGAAACAAGAAACAAAAAGGACAAATAGAAACTACAGGATATAGCGGTGCCTCAGTTTTCCAACTCAGTTTTCTCCACCATCCTGGTTGCAAACTCATCTGGATGAGAACTGAATCAAGTTTCCCCATAAGGTCAACATTGAACCCATGAAATCTGCTTTGTTTCTCATCCAGTTTGGTTTGTGACCAGAATTGTGGAAAGAATCATTTGTGAACTGAGGAACCACTGTAGATAGAATGAAATTCAACCATATTAATAACCTATAATTAATTTAAAAGATTAACCCCTCTAGTTAAGGGGTATATTGTCAAACTATCTTGAAAACTACAATATATTTAGTATGGAACAGTAAATCTGAAAAGTATAGTTCATTAACAAGTGATATTAATAATTCCTAAGGATAGGAGGAGTGAAAGTAGAAGAATAGAGAAAGATATGCCAGTCAAATAAGCAAAATTGGGCAGAGCTGTATTAATTTCAGACAATATTGACTATGTAGCAAAAAGTATTAGATATAAAGTTTGGCTTGTGTAGCACCTCCCAGGAAATGATTAAAGGAATTAAAGCGTTATGTATATAAGTCTAATGTATATTTATTTTCTGAGTTTTAATTTTTATGCTATAGCTCTCAGGAATGAATTTCTGGTATAGAGTATAGCACATAGAGTTAAGGAAATACAGTATATGAGCTACTGTTAAAATCCAGTAACGCCAGATGCGATGATTCACACCTGTAATCCCAGCACCTGGGAGGCTGAGGCAGGAGGATCTCTGTGAGTTCAAGGCTAGCCATAGCTACGTAGTGAGTTCAAAGACAGCCAAAACTACATAGTAAGACCCTGTCTCAAAAATAAAAACAAACAAAAACAAAAAGTTCAGTAAGTGTAGATACATAATATAGTTGTGGGTGCTACAAGGGTGAACAGCTTTTTTCTTGAAACCTGAAAAACTGTCCTTGTTTTTCTTAGCCTCATACACTATTACAGAGAGTCAAAGCCTGCACCACAGAAGAGGATCAGGAGAAGCTGATGCAGATTACAAGCCTGCATTCACTGAATGCTTTCTTGCTGCCAATCAAAACTGTAGGTGTGCAGGTAAGTTGCATGAGTTCACAGACAAACTTTCTGACATTTTTTGTTTTGCTAAAATTGAACTGAGAATTGGAAGAAAATGAAATATGAAAGTATATACACCAAATTTAGAAAAGCTAAAAGGCAATTTAATAGAATATTTACAGAGGCAACAGATTATAGGGACTAAACAACAGACAGAGATTCTGTAGTTTTTGAACATGTCAACTCTAACCAAAGGTGAAAATGTAAGGAACCATTTGCTACAGAGGTGTAAGTTGTTTCTTTCTTGAGGGGCAGGTATCAGTAGGTCATGTCTGACTGTACTTGTAAGTATGAAACGTATTGAGGCTTTGGAAATCTTTAACGATAAGAAAACTCCCAGAGGAACATGTCACACCATTTAGGTCCTGCTCTCAGCTTGTGGGCACCCAGTACGGAAGCCATCTGCCTCTCCAGTGTGGCATCTCTTTCTCAGAGCTGGGATGGTGTACAATTATTTTTTTGTGTGTGTATTCTGCCTTTTTATTTGTAAAAACATGCGGGTTCTCAGTTTTGAAATGGTATTATGAAATAACTACATCAAATTCTCGTTTATGTGATTCTCAAATGAATTTCTGGGGGAGAATCTTGGGGGAGGGTAGGAAAGCAGAAGTTTTCTCCTGGAATCTGTGGTTTAACAGGAACTAGAAAAGATGTTAGTAATTGAACTATAAAAGGGTATGAATGCAAGTTATTAGATTAACATGTTTATAATGTCCCATTCTAATAGAATTATGCATGGGAAAAATTCACTAGATATTATTCATCTGAAACATAAGCATATTCTCTATTAAGTAAAATTCTTTCTAGCTCTGAATCTAAAACGGTAACAGTTCACTGTTAATTTTAAATTAAGCTAAATATTGTAATTCATGGAAATAGCAGATTCAACTAGTTTGGCTACAGAATACTTGCCCTGTCTTTTCTCTATCTTTAAGGCTGCATGTGTAAACTGCTTATTGTTCAGACTGTACTCATCTTCTTTTTCTCAATACCAGGTACCTTGTGCTTGCGAGGCAGACACAGCACCACTGAACTAAATCCCTGGCCCCATATATTGTTTTTAAATTACTATTAAAACAAACTTTTTTAGAAATCTAGAAGTAATTTTCATTGATTCATTGGTTTATGGATTATCTCATTTATCAGTTTATATATAGATTCATTTTGAGCTTTGTTAGGATATTTACAGGTGTATGTTATCCTACCATGTAAAAATAGAAGTGTAGACAAGATATTTCATTCTTAAAAGCTTTCCTAGTATTTGTGCAAGTCCCTGGGTTTGATTACTAGCACTATTTAAAAAAAAAAAAATCAAAAGCTTTCCCAGTGGATACTTGACAGAGTCGGGTGGAAGTAGTTCCCACTCTTCTTTTTAAGGAAGCACTGTGTTACAGATAATAGGTTTCTAAATAGTAGATTTTGAAATAATATAGTTTGTTGGATGAGTGATTTCTTCTTTAAAAATGAAACTTTATTTTCAGGCTCTATTAGTTTTTAGCAAAACAAGTTTCCTTATTCTAGTCTCAGAGGTCTTTGAAGTGGAGACTCTTGTAAACCTATAAAAATCATACTTCGTTACTAGTACTGTATAGAGTTACTTTCTGAATACTAAAAATAAACCATACTAGTAAAAATTTAAAATACATTTAAAAATCCTCCTTATTTCTGCCATTAAATTTTGTGTCTTTTTTTAGAAACATTTATTTTAAAAAGAAAATAGGAAGAGACTATATAGGTGTGTGTACACTTATTCTTGTAACTGAATTGCGTAAGTTTATGTGTTTTTGTAAGTAGATTATTCTTAATGTATATTTTTGAAACTTATTTTACCAATGAACACTTAAACTGCAGTTTTTCACTATTATAGACATTTTAGGAGTGAAAGTATTTCTCTAGGCTTATATCCTGAAGATTATATACATTTTATACTTTTATGATACTATTAAATTACAGTCAAATAATTTGAATTCTCATATTCCCAGTTTTTGGTATTCTGGGTCTTTGGTAATTATTTTTGAGTTAAGACCTCCCTCTGTTGCCCAGGCTGGCTTTCAGCTCATGGGCTCAGGCAGTCCTTATGCCTTAGCTGTGTCTAAAGGTAAAGGCACAAGCCATCAAACCCAGATAAATCTATTGATTTTTAAAATTGCTTTTTAAATTTGATTTTTTTAAAAAACAAATTACTTGGATTAAACAGGACAAAGGAAAAGTAATCAGTTATTAGCTTAATTTACTGTTTTTAAGAATTTTTTTAATTTTTAAAACTTGACATAAAATTATTTGTGTCCCCGAGTACCGTATGTATGTGTGTGTGTGTGTGTGTGTGTGTGTGTATATATAT